TATATTTAAAGAATAAAGAGTCTGTTAGACTCTTGTTTCTATGGATAAACTACTTATAATAAAGAGTTTTGGTCATTTAAAGAGTCATTTGGAGATGCTCTTAGACCATTCAACTTAGATTTCTTTTTGACAGGCGCTATAACTATTTTTCAGCTCACTGATCGTCTATGGTTGACTTCATTCTCTACTGTTACAATTAGACGGTTAAAATCCAATTGCATTAAGAAAACTAATCAATACAAACTTTTGGATATTAGACTATCTCCAACCCATTGCACCAAATTAGTGTAAGTTTTACACCAAATGGTGTGATTTTTTGTGTAAAACACTATTGCATCTCCAACACACTTCACCAAATATTACACAAAGAATAATATTTCTTGAAAGATTTCTTAGAATATTCTCTTTCTTTTTCTTTTATTGTAATAATCAACAATTAATCTATTTCACTCATTATTTTTGTATATATTAATTAAATATTGGGAATGATATTTTTATTAAATAATAATTACTTTGAAAATTATACTAATTTAATAAAATTAAGCATTTATTTAATCAAATAAACATTATATTTAATATAGAAAAACATTACATCTAATATAAAATGATACCAAAAAAAAACACAAAAGTAAAATTCCATATTGATAGTAATTTAATTTTCTGAATTAGTAAGTTTTTCCCACAAATGATCAATTAATGCATTTCAAAGAGCTTGGTGAGCCTCTGTATCCTTAATTTGTCTATGTCGAGCAAGAAAATTTTAAAATCGGACATTTTCATCTATGACAATTTCAACTTCGGGAGTTGGTGCTTCCATCTGATTCTCAATCGATGCATCAGCATTACAATCATCCTCGATTATCATGTTGTGCATAATAATACACGCAGTCACTATATCATGTAATACATTTTTATCCATTCAAGCTTTTTAGATTTAGTGTTTTGAAATTAGTGTTAATTTTTATTTTGAGTTATTGTAGTTTAATATTTGTATTGAGTAAAGTTTTATTTTTAATTTTTCATTATTTTTTTAATTATATCATTATTATGAATTTATTATTATAAAAAAAAAAATTTGGTTGAATGAACAATACCACACCAATTTGGCGTGGCACTGTTCATCTGCACCAAATTGGTGTAGCAAATGGCGCTGTATTGGAGCAGCACTTCATGCCATTTTGGTGTTTTTTACACCAAAATGGCGTGAGTTGGAGATGCCCTTAGACCATCTCCAACCCATTGTACCAAATTGGTGCAAGTTTTGGAATGATCATGTGTGGCCTATACTTAAGGATATTGAAAAATTTACAGATAATGTTAACGCCGCAGAAGTATTTCAAAGGCAAACTGATAGGTTTGTATCACAAGAATCAGAGACTCCCACTTCAAAGTCTCCTNTATTATTTAATTTTTTTTAAACCTTCTAAATTTGTTAATTTAATTAAATACCCCTAAATATTTTTTTTAAAATTACAAAAACACCCCAACAATCCACATTTACCAGATTCCGGCCATCACTATGGCCGGAATCTGGTAGGATGGCGCACTACCGGCTGAATCTGACAGGTAGTGCGCCGATCTAGCCTTTTCCGACCAGATCCACCGTGGATCTGGCCAGAAAAGGCCAGATCTAAGGCCAAAGATCTCGCCGTTGACGGCCAGATCTTTGGCCGTAACACTCGGTCACGACGGCCAACAAACGGTCGTCGTTGACCATCAACGACGACCATTTGTTGGCCGTCGTTGAGAGCAAATACGGCCAGATCTGACCGTAGATCTGGTCTTTTCCGGTGGATCTGGCCGGAAAAGGCCATAACGACGCATGACCGGCAAGATCCAACCGGTCATGCGCCCATAAGGCGACTCCGGCCACCTCCGGTGGTGGTCGCCGGCTGGGGGTGTTTGAGGGTGGGTTAGGGGTATTTTTGTTAACTTTTAATATTTTATTATAGGGGGTATTTTGTAAAAAAACAAACATAAAAGGTATTTTATTAATTTATAAATTCTACATCGTAATACCCACCCAATTCAACTTTTTTTTAACTTTTTTCAAAAAACTTTTTCCAAAACGCCCAAATTTTGAATCAAACGAAGCCGTAACTATTTTTCAGCTCAATGATTGTCTACGGTTGACTTCATTCTCTTCTGTTACAATTAGACGGTTAAAATGCAATTGCATTAAGAAAACTAATCAATACAAACTTTTGGATATTGGAAATTAATATACCGATTTTATTAGAAGAGTGCTTTAAACTGTTTTTGTATGCGATATCTTTTTATCTTAAAGTTTTTAGAGTGTTTCTTGACATTTGGACTACTCTTCAGGATATTAAGAAAATAAAAATAATAGAGTATTAATCAACAATTTTTTTTCAAAAGTATGTAAATGAATTAGCAACCCACTTGTTCTTCACTTAAAATTACACCATTGATATAAAATAATTAACTCAAATTTCAAAGTATTCTCAGTAAATCCAGGAAACAACTCATCTATGAGAGCTCTAAAATTGAGTAATTATGTATACAACTTTGAAATATAATGAAGAGCAAATTACATGTTCTCACCCAAATATTAGCGAAATGACAAGTTTTCATCGTTGGTTTCATAGATTTCAAATTCTCACTCTTAAAGTGACACCATTTAACAATTTTTAGTTTCTGGCGTAGATACAAAGAGTGTTATTACCATACTGCCATTGACAAATAAATTAATAAATTACTTTTTAACCCCCAAATTAATAAAATTAGAAAACTAACCATCTTACTTTTAAATTTATTTCAGTAACATCATTTTTTCAACCTTCACACCATCCCCATCTCCAACCACCTAGCCATTGCTACTGCCATTGCCACCACCACCTAGTCTCTACTGCCAGAAACTCTATCAACTATCACCGATGCCATCTCCAGTGTTAATTCAAAGCTCCTTTGTTCCGGTTCACCTCCCAGCCATCATCCTTGTCATTTATCGATTTCTTCATGCCACAACCAACCGTCTTCCGCACCCTTGTTGTTGGGTGTTGTGGGTGTGCTCTAGGGAGAGCTGGTTTGGGCCTTCTGTCGAGCAGGTAGTGGGCTAGTTACTAAAACTTCAATCACCAAAGACAGGATCAACCCCAAAACCCAGAAAAATCAACACAAACACTTCGAAATCAATCGCAACCAACTTCCAAACAACCACAAATCTCAATCTCCTTTTAGAAACCTCTTAAACAAACACCAATCAAACCCAAAATTCAACAAAATCATGAAACCTTAAGGGAATAGATAGCCGGCAAATAACAGGTGATTAGGGTCGAGGTTGTTAGGGGTTTTGGAGAGGGAATGCTGGTGGTGTAAAAGTTGTTTTTTTTTTTTTTTGGGGGGGGGGGGGGGGGGGGGGGGTTGGAATTTTCAATGATGGGAGCAATCGAAATTTTGCTGGGAAGGCGCGATGATTACGCAAAACCCTAAGGGGTTGTTGGTGGCGTCGACATGCAATTGTGGTGAGGGATGTTAGGGGTTTTGGTGGGGGCACTCCACTGAGGCCAAGGGTGGGGTTGGGGGCGATTGTTGTCGACAAATTTGACCGGAAAAGCTTGAAACCCGTGAGTCAAGACAGTGGGCGGTGGCCAAAGAATGGTGGTGCAATTGGGTGGGGATTAAAGGCGTTTTGGTGAGTGCAAATGATCACTTTACCCTTGACCGTTACATAAAATAATTTTATGTTAATCTAAAGGTGGGAATCTGGAATATAAATCTTTAGTCAATTCTTTAAGTTTCAAGAATTGACTAAAGATTTATGGCTAGACTTAAGATTTTGGCATAAATAGGATAAATATGCAAAGAAAAAAATATAACAAACAGAAAATTAGACAAGGAATATCAATAATTCACATTAACTTTTTTTTTTTTTTTCATTTTCTTGGACCTTTTAGCATTTTCTCTATAGGCAAATACTCGGTTGATTATAGTTCAAGAAACAAAACAAAGACAAATCTTTTTACCATTTTCTTTTCATTAAACAACTTTACGCACACGAAGGAAAACACATTTTTTTTTTCTTGTGTACCAAACAGAACCAAGAAAGCAAGAACTCATCAACACATACATTTTTCCTTTTATCATTTTCTTTTCAGACCTTTCTTGTGTACCAAACAGAAACAACAGAAGAAGAAGAGGATCACTTACATTTTTCATGAAATGTAATGCATCCCTTCTCAGAACTATGATTTCTTTGTTGTCTGCATAGCCATCCACTGCCATGTATTCCTCTTCTACATTGTAGTAATCTTCAAGGCCTTCTTCATCAGAATAACCCAGTGGTTGTACTCATGGTAATTCATGTTGTTTGTTTCTCGGGAAAATCAAAGAATGTGAAAAGTTTCTTATTTTAAAATATAATGAATTGTACACAACTTTTGGAGATTTATTGGGAATTTTTATGTCACATTACATTCAATTAGCTCCCCAAAATTCCGCGTGTCTGGAAGTATAAGGTTCAATATGTTGCCTCTCCAAATTTACCTAACAAAATTCTTCCGTACAAATTGTTTATCCATGTCAAAGTCCCATGAAGATGACAGTTGATCATTTGCCTAAAATAACTACAATTAAGTGATCAACCACCAAAATGTTAAAAAAGTAGTATTAAATATTTGGTCATTTTAATGTTAAACCACATTAACAAGATAATAAAATAAATTAAATAGTTCAAATAATTAATTTAATTAATTATTATAATATGTGAGATTGATCTTCAGAGCAATAGGAATGTTTAATTAGAATTTCGATTTTGGAACTCTTTTGTACTTCTTTATTTAATTTTTGATAGCCAGAACCAGAAGTTCACGTAATCTCTCTTTAAAATAGAAAATGAAATGGAAAGAGTCTTGCATACAAGTTATTCAGAAATGGAAAAAATCTTTTCATCTAAATTTCATTGCAAGGCAAACCTAATTTAAGAACTATCTTCCTAATATTAACATAATTCTTCTACAAAAAGAATTACAAGAACAAGAACAAAAACAAGAATATCACTATATCTAACTACTAATGCACAAGTTAAGACTGTATGTAACCACTATTCAGGGTAAAACCATGACTCTACACTCAATGAATTCTTCTCGCTGGTTTTTGCCGTGATGACATTTCAACGCAGTGAGGACGGCAAGAATTTGCCAAAGGCTTGATCCCCTTTCAACTGATCCTTTTACATGAATTGTTTCCTACCAAAGCAGATGACATTTCCAGAAGGCCCTGGGGCAACATTTATCACTTGTCGAACTTCATCGTAACAGTGGCCTGGATCATTAGACCAAGAAATACTTTTTAGACTTTGGCAGAAGTAGAAACTATGGGGCAGTATCAGAAGACCCTGGCCATTGTAGTTGATAATCCAAAATTAGATTTTTGAGGAACAAATTTGCTTGACAATGTGAAAATGGCAATACCTCCCCAAAGAAAATTATTTCTCTTCATCTGAACTAGAATCATTCATCCGTCGCTCTGCAATAGCTGGGAATAGCCACTGGCGAAGATCGGGAGAGGGTTGTTGGCCGGGATCAGAGGAAGATGATCCAGTAGATCCCTCTTTTTTTGGTGTTTTCGCAGATCTCTTTTGTGCCTCACTCACCTCTTTGCATGCCTTGTCTAAAATGATCAAAAAGTCCCTTACTATGATAAACAAACGTATACCCTCATCCTTCCCTGCTTTCCCATGGAAATAATCAGCAGTGCTCTTCACCAGGTTAATGATTCTCTTTTCTTCCTCCAACAACCACATGACATCGACCTCAGCATTCTGAACAAAGCTTTTTAATGTTTCATGGAATCCACTAATTTCCTCTGAATTCTTCATATCTGAGTTCAGGAAATCTCGGGATTTCAATAGTGAATGGCCAAGTTTAGCTACAGTTCCTGTTAAGTTGTCAGCATCTATAGATGCTGCTTTCTTCACATTTTCAAGTTCACTGCTCAAATTTGAAACCACCTGAAGACCAAGGCTGCGGTAGCGCACTTCATCATCACACGAAATTTCCTGAAGATCATCGGTTTTGAAACTGTTGGAGCTCTTGCTCTCTCTTGCTGCACGAGCAGCTTTGATACCTTCAGAACGGATTATCTCCTGAACAACAAAATGCAATAGTGTGGTCTTGCCATCTACTCCTTTTACGTCTGATAATTTCAAAAGTGTATCTAGTTTGAATGCTTGTGCACCACCACGGAAAGTGCCATCATTCATGCGATTGCCAGTTTTAAGAACAGCTTCTAGAAGCTTCAGGAATAGTCGGCTATTTCGGAGTTCCTTACAAGCAACCTATGTATGACGTCAAGATGACATTCAAAATAGATAGTTCGTTGTAAGAGCATAGATGCCAAGAACCATAAGAAGTTATAGACACAGCTGTAAGTAGTAAAACGGAATAATACAAGAGATGCAAGTTAAAAGACTAATAGCTTACCTCCAGAGTTTCAAAGGACTCCTTCGTGGTAGTAACTTCCTCCTGAAGAGAACACATGAAAAGCAGTGCTTCCATTCGTTTAAAAGCATATGGAATGTCAACCAAGGCTTTAAGAAACCGCTCAGCTGGCCCAAGTTGAGAAAGTTCACCATTGAACAACCTAAGCTTCAGCTCTTCATCTGCTGTTGGTGCCATCTTTAACAAAGTTTGAAGAAGTTCCACAGGGAGTTCATTGCCTAATTTAATTAAAATAGGTTAGATTACCATGACCCATAGAAAACCCTGACAGAATAGTAGCAGTAACTTAGCAGTAATAGGGAAAAATGAGTGGTTCACTGCTAAAAGCTGCGAAAAATATAAAAATAAAATAATCTTTTAGACATATTGAGCATATTTGAGCATCATTATGTTGAATCACTGATCCCAACAATTTGGGCTTAAGGTAAAGGATAAAGAATAAAAATTAAGTTGTAACACACTCCCAGAACATACAAGGTTGAATCTAATTACGAGATTCCTCATGTGGATACAATGCTGGGTACACTTGGGGGTAATCAGGATTCAAACTCACAATGCCCCAGTAATGGCAATATCTTCATATTTATAAAAATGCTACGATAATCGATTAGGTTTTGAGAGTTAAAATGGAGGCCAGTGGCATATCAATTTAAATCCTTTTGTTGAATGTAATGATAATTTTCAGCATCTCAATTACTAGCCATCAGCAAAGTATTAGATGTATGAAGTGTTTTCAGCCAATTCTTTTTCCCAAATAATGTGCAATTTATTAAGAGGAACCAACCCAAATCATTGTTAAGAGTTACAATCGGGCTGTCTTTAATATTCACAAAAAGTGCTTCCAGACAGCATCACTAACACAAACCAGCTCAGTATAATATGATACTTTGAAATTCCAAAATAGCAAGCATTTACTAAAAGAACTTATGTATCAGAACCTCCATCGGTTTCACTTGTATTTAATGATGTTGCCTTGTAGTATTCAGTCAATGGAGAAAACAAACCATAGGTTTAACAAATAATCATTTACTACATCTAATTCACTTGTAAGTTTTATATTGGCATTTTATTTTCTTTCTTCCTTTTCATTTCTGTGTAAAACACAAACATCTGCAGCCACGATTTCGGATCTCTCTTGCATTCTCTGACACAAACAACTCGACACAAATTTGCTGAAGAAAAGAGAAAAAAAAAAAAAAAAAATGTGGAGAGAAACCAACCTTCAAGAAGTGCATCACGTACTTCTTCCATTGTCACATTTAATGCCCGAAGCATAATTGCTAAGTTTTGTGCCTTTTTGGGATCAATGATCTGAATATACTGGGGCCCCTGATCTAAGAAAGAAGACTCTCTCTTGCCTTCATTTTTCTTTTTATCATTGGGTGCATACCCGAACAAACTTTCTATCATCTCCTCATTGAACCTGTGTAAACAGTATACTACCTTCAGCTGATAATAATACTCAAGACATTTTCTGGGCTGACCCAAAGGCAAAATATATTCAACGGCAGGAGATAGAGAGCAAGAGAGGGAGGGAGGGAGGAGAAGAGAGAGAATTTGCGACTCACTGGAATGATCCTGATTTAATCTGATGCCAAACCATTGAATTGTCTGGATTGGCTAGAACTTTATCCCAGAAAAATGGCTTCAACTTGGTTTTAGGAGCATCANCTTTAACAAAGTTTGAAGAAGTTCCACGGGGAGTTCATTGCCTAATTTAATTAAAATAGGTTAGATTACCATGACCCATAGAAAACCCTGACAGAATAGTAGCAGTAACTTAGCAGTAATAGGGGAAAATGAGTGGTTCACTGCTAAAAGCTACAAAAAATATAAAAATAAAATAATCTTTTAGACATATTGAGCATATTTGAGCCTCATTATGTTGAATCACTGATCCCAACAATTTGGGCCTAAGGTAAAGGATAAAGAATAAAAATTAAGTTGTAACACACTCCCAGAACATACAAGGTTGAATCTAATTAAGAGATTCCTCATGTGGATACAATGCCGGGTACACTTGGGGGTAATCAGGATTCGAACTCACAATGCCCCAGTAATGGCAATATCTTCATATTTATAAAAATGCTACGATAATCGATTAGGTTTTGAGAGTTAAAATGGAGGCCAGTGGCATATCAATTTAAATCCTTTTGTTGAATGTAATGATAATTTTCAGCATCTCAATTACTAGCCATCAGCAAAGTATTAGATGTATGAAGTGTTTTCAGCCAATTCTTTTTCCCAAATAATGTGCAATTTATTAAGAGGAACCAACCCAAATCATTGTTAAGAGTTACAATCGGGCTGTCTTTAATATTCACAAAAAGTGCTTCCAGACAGCATCACTAACACAAACCAGCTCAGTATAATATGATACTTTGAAATTCCAAAATAGCAAGCATTTACTAAAAGAACTTATGTATCAGAACCTCCATCGGTTTCACTTGTATTTAATGATGTTGCCTTGTAGTATTCAGTCAATGGAGAAAACAAACCATAGGTTTAACAAATAATCATTTACTACATCTAATTCACTTGTAAGTTTTATATTGGCATTTTATTTTCTTTCTTCCTTTTCATTTCTGTGTAAAACACAAACATCTGCAGCCACGATTTCGGATCTCTCTTGCATTCTCTGACACAAACAACTCGACACAAATTTGCTGAAGAAAAGAGAAAAAAAAAAAAAAAAAATGTGGAGAGAAACCAACCTTCAAGAAGTGCATCACGTACTTCTTCCATTGTCACATTTAATGCCCGAAGCATAATTGCTAGGTTTTGCGCCTTTTTGGGATCAATGATCTGAATATACTGGGGCCCCTGATCTAAGAAAGAAGACTCTCTCTTGCCTTCATTTTTCTTTTTATCATTGGGTGCATACCCGAACAAACTTTCTATCATCTCCTCATTGAACCTGTGTAAACAGTATACTACCTTCAGCAGCTAATAATACTCAGACATTTTCTGGGCTGACCCAAAGGCAAAATATATTCAACGGCAGGAGATAGAGAGCAAGAGAGGGAGGGAGGGAGGAGAAGAGAGAGAATTTGCGACTTACTGGAATGATCCTGATTTAATCTGATGCCAAACCATTGAATTGTCTGGATTGGCTAGAACTTTATCCCAGAAAAATGGCTTCAACTTGGTTTTAGGAGCATCACCATCACCCTCTGTGCCAGCTCCTTCACTGGAAGATGGATGTTTTGATCCAAGAGGTGGCCGAGGGGCCTTTAAACCCATTGGCATTGGTGGCGGTGGTCGAGGAGGAGCAGGACCACCCTTTGGAATTGGAGGTGGTGGTGCACCTGGTTTCATACCAGAAGCCATAGGTGGTGGAGGAGGTGGTGGACCTGGTCTCACACCAGGAGCCATAGGTGGTGGAGGAGGTGGTGGACCTGGTCTCACACCAGGAGCCATAGGTGGTGGAGGAGGTGGTGCTGGTTTAGGGGCAGGAGGGCCAGTGGACTCAGAAGATTTTATAGGAGGTGGAGGACGGGGAGGAGCAGGAGGCCTCAGAGAAGCAGGTGGTTCAGGAGGGAGAGGTTCTGCCCTGCCAGGAGGCGGCTTTAGGGCAGGCATCCCGAGAGGTGTGGCACCAGGCCTTCCAGGGGGAGGCTTCAAAGGTGGTAACACCTGTCCATTTATATTGCTAGATGTGTCTAGAGAATCAGCAGAGGATTTGGTAGTACCACCAATGGCTTCTAATGCTGCAAATTTTCCATCCAGTGATTGATGACCGAGCTTCTCTCCTTTAATTGAATTTCCTGGACTCAAAAGATCAAAAATTTTAATTAGCAACAGATAGTATTTAAAACTAGTAGATTACACCAAAAAAATGTATCAAAAGTATACAATACATACCCACAGAGTAGTCGCTCATGCTTACACTGAGAAGGGGCCTCTCATCATTCCGTCTATCTCCACCATTCCTTAACCTACGACAGCAGAAAAAGAGCAATGCTGCAAGAAAAAACGTCACTGCTGCTGTCACGACTACAGCAACAATAATAGTTTTACGGCTATTAATATTTTTATCTGCATTTATGTTGCCTCCAGAACTAGAATTTGTGGATCCATCAACTACCGGTGGTGGACTAGAATCAACTGGGAAAAATGCCGTTGATGAAGACGGAGGAGGAGGCGAAGGTTTAGAAACTAGTGATGGCATGGAGCCAGGGGCAGGGGCAGGGGCAAGGGCAAGGGCAGGGGCAGGGGCAGGGGCAAGGGCAAGGGCAAGGGATGGGCCTGGGGCATCGGCAATGGTTTCAGCAATTCTCCGACGTGATTGAGGGCCCAGTTTCTGCCTAGGAGCACCAGGCCTCGGAAGTAGGAACTCAAGATACCTGGTGTACCAAGAGCCACCTTCTCTACTAACATGAAACAAAAGATTGTCCTTTCTTATACATTGTAAAAGAGTTTGCTTCAAGCAGGGATGCAGCACAGTTTTCCATTTCTGAATGTTCCCTTTTGTCAATGGCTGACTCGTTGACTTCATTTCATTGGTGCTACCAGGCGTTTCTTCTGGAAGGCATAAGTTAAGATCTTCAACAACTTCCTCCAAGTGGATCAAGTGCTCTCTGCAACTGATCCATAGTAGCTCTGCCTGAAATCGGACAATTTTAGAACCATGATAACTAAAGTAATAAGATTGTCATTCATTGTAACTTACACTGGGTGTGATTGTATGTAAGCATAAAAACACAGGAAGCACAATTATCCATGATTCTAAAGCATGTTTTCTGCAACTATGTTTCACAGCCATTGCATTAATGCATCATGACAATGTGTCGTATGTAATATGCTAAAAGAAACTTTCATCATGCACTGTTATAAACTGACCCAGTGCCCAGTGATGTATCATAACAGAAACTTGAAATGGCAATCTGCATAACATTGCAAATCATAAATTTCATTAAATGAAATTTTCAAGCCCTATTCTCATTGTTTAAGGTTTTACATGCACTACAATCCCATAAATACAGACCTTCGGAATAGTTAGCAAGCTTTTAGGCAGAAGTTGCAGCACAAAGATATTTCTATACATTGACAGATCATATGCCATTGCACCATTACCTCTACTGTTTTCCATGAATTCAAATTATTTACTGGAGATGCCAGTTACACGAGGACTGCAAACTGTGACACCTTACTAATTAACTTTAAATTATTTGGTGCGACAACTATCTAGTACGCAAAAATTATGTTATACGACCAAATGTCAACCTTTGGCCTGTGAGTAATCTTCACAAGTGGAGTTGAGTCCACCATGACAACATATGATCATTGCTACAACATTTGTTATCTACTTTTATAAACTTGTACTATCTATTTATCTCCAGAACTCGTAACTTGAAATAAACAAACCTAACTGCGCAAGAATACAAATATGACAAGAAAAAACAAAAACAAAAACAAAATTTAGTCCCTTACCATGACATTGTCCACCTCTCCAGTCTCCGGATTAACTAATCTGCTGAGAAACATTTCCTCACTGGTCGTCATGTATTCTGAGGTGACCATTAATGATCCACACAGTAGAACTACCAAAAAAATGTAACAACCTGCTCTCATCACACCCATTTGTTCTTGAATCATCTTTACAATCATACACAGTCCTTTTCATTTCATCGAGACCTAAACCCCACAAAGCAAGCAAAACCCTCATAAACTTCCTTCATAACACCAAAAACCCATAATAAAAGCTTCAACTTTAGAACATCTGGCACCAACCTAATTCAATTTTCAATCAACAAACCCTTGAAATATACCAACTGACCACAGGTATGTACAATATTTCAGATATCACCCACAATAAAATCAATGAAAAGTTGAAACTGCAATCAAACTCAACAACCAAATCAAACCAAACCAAACAAAACCCAGAATTTACTTTGCCCAAATAGGCCAATACAGGGAATCAAATTACTTGTAAAGATAAACCCACAAAAAGAACCAAGCAAATAATTATTCAAAAGAAGCTACTCAAATCACCACAACCCCAAATCAAATAATAAATCAAACTTTACTGAAAAAATGTCCTGAAAAACCTAGATGTAAATGCACAAAAAAGGGATGAAAAGGAATGCCCTCTCCTCTGTATGAATAAAATAATGAAACGGGTAAATTTTGACCAGATCCAATCAAATTACATTAGCTGTGAATGGATGTAGAGATGTTGACTTGGAAAAGTTACAAAGAATTTTTCTTCACAGAAAAGTTTTCCAGACACGCTCACAATAATAAAGAAAGAAATCTAGGCGTGCTTTGTGTTTCTGTTTTCAATTTGAACTATTTGAATTTTTTGGACTTTTACCATATCAGAATAGAGAGACCAATTTTATCTTAGGTCTTAGGTGGTGATCCATAAATGAAAATATCATACTAGTTTATTAATATTTATTAGACTCAAATAATAAAACGTTTTGAAACTTTTTATTAATTACACTGTAATAATGGTGAGATTAATGAGTTAAATATTGGAGCAAAGGGATTGGGGAGATCGTTTTTAAGAAATTATTATGAAAAAATAAGGGTAATAAATTTTAGGATTTTTTTTTTTTTTTAGAGAGTTTGAAAATATCTGATAAAAATATTTCAAAATGGTTTCCTAAAATAAAATAAAAGATGAGTGTTTAATTACCTTTGGATAGCTGAGTTGTTCATAAAGATTCTTAAGTGAATTACGTTAAATGTTCTGAGTTCGAGTACTTTTTCGGGCATTAATATGAGTAGTCACTTAAACTCTTACATAGACAATAGTTTTAATGTCTTGGAGAATTAATTGAAATGTGCATAAACTGGTTTAGACGCCTCAGATCATAAAAAAAAAAAAAAAAAAAAAGATTGAGTGTTGTATGTTTTCCAAATTCCAAATATAATTTTGAAGATGCACAGCATTTTTAATAGATATTGAGTTGTACAATTATTTTTCAAGACTTATTTTATATAAAATTTATATTTTTTTAAATTGCAAAATACTTTTGATATTCATTTTTAAATCTTTAAACAAAATATTGGTTTTTGTTTAAAAAAAAATAATAAAGGATGAAGAATATGCCTCTATTAACTTCTTCTATTGAAGACTCACTTTAACTTGCAAGAAATACTGAGATAAAATTGGAGCCCAATGTTTCTTCTCCTATGATGTTGAACCACAGGCCCTGCCCATAAATCCTTTTTAGTTATTTTGCCAAGAGAAACTTCCAGGCTGTTTCCTCATATGGCTTAATTGATTAATTTGCTTAAGAATATAATTTTGGATGGAATGGACGCGTCTACATTTATTTAATTATTTGACACGTATAAATCACTTATGTTGATGTATTAAATATACGTACACATATGTCCATCGTACTAAATAGAATAGACAATTTTATTCCCAACTAAGATTAATGAAGAGACTATTTGTTGGTATCAATACTTTTCATAGTGAAGATTGCCTTATCCTATTTGTTCAGCATTTCAGGTCCGTTTGTTTTAATATTCCATTTCCTATTCCTAATCCTATTTTCAAAATAACTATTTGTTTCATTATCTTCAAAATACTATTATATTTTTTTCAACTATATTTTAAATCTCTTAAGTTTATTAATTTAACTAAACACCCTAAAAAAAAAATTTAAAAATTAACAAAAACACCGTGGATCTGGCCATCTTTGGCCGTAGCTGGTCATCAATGACAATTATATCTTTGGCTATTGCTGACGTCAGATCTAACCATCGACGGCCAGAAACGACCATAGATCTGGCCTTTTCCGGCCAGATCCACCAAAAATGTCATATTGACACACAAACGGCCAGATCCGGCCGATCGTGTATCGTAACGCCAGATTCCGGCAGTGGTGGCCAGAATCTAGCAACTAAGGGTGTGGGTGTTTTTGTCATTTTACAAAAATTTTACATATTGGGGTGTTTCATAAATTAGCAAACCTAAATGAGTGTTTTTGTTAATTTTTAAATCTTACTTCATTATTCTCACTTAACTCTAAAAATATCAAAAATTCTACCCAAAATATTAAAACAAACTGACCCTGATATGTCTCTAGATAATTAGCCCTGATCTCTCTGCATCTTATCTTTAAATGGGGAGCACACAATTTAAAGTTGAGCACTAAACTATTACAAAATGGCTCCAGCTTTTGCTATAGCCGAAAATCCACATGGCCATAAGGCTGATACTGCCCATGCTTTTGAAAAAAGAACTCTACAGATGCAATGCACTGCACAAAGTTTCATTTTTAGAAGTCAAAAGCTTAGAGCCACTAGACATGGAAAAGTACATATATATGTAGATATTTTATATTACATGTTAAGATGGAGAAGCTACAACATGCAACAGGAACCCATCCTCAAAATATTCCTTTCACATTGCATGATAAAGTTTCCTTATTCCTTAGATTACAGTTGCGTTAAGAAATGAAAATCATATGGATAAAGTCCAGGTAAAATGTTTCCTGGTTTTACACATAGGAATTCTCATAGAACTTTCATCTGCAAAGCTTATACAATCACATGTAGGGAAAATTCTATGAAACCAAATGGTATAAATATCAAGAAATCTTAAACTATTGGATAAGGATTAACAGTTACAGTATAAAAGCATCATAGAAGGACCCTTGAATTAGATAGATTAATTTAGTGGTAGCCAGATGGCATGGAAGTATTGCTAATCTGCATGCCATAATTCATTTTGGCTATGAGAAAGGCCTAGAAGAAAAATATTCTTTTTTTACTTTATAGCCCTCTAAATATTCCAAGAGAATTTGTCTAATGCTTTTAACTAAAGGCTTTTTCTTCAGCACTATAAGAACCAACACAGCCACAGAATTCTTTCCAGGAAAGTCAAGGTGTTTCTCCTTTTTTTTTTTTTTTTTTTTAGTTTTGTGGTGTGTCTAGCCTGGAATGACTAGTTGCATTAAGCTTGAAGTTCATACAGAAGATCATACTCCACATAAATGGTGTGTTGCATTACGTGAAGGTGTGTTCAACAATTTCCTGTCACAGGGAAATCCAACTGTGCATAAGGTATTCGGTGATGGCTCTCTGTTCAGTCCATTGNATCCAAAATATTAAAACAAACTGACCCTGATATGTCTCTAGATAATTAGCCCTGATCTCTCTGCATCTTATCTTTTAATGGGGAGCACACAATTCAAAGTTGAGCACTAAACTATTACAAAATGGCTCCAGCTTTTGCTATAGCCGAAAATCCACATGGCCATAAGGCTGATACTGCCCATGCTTTTGAAAAAAGAACTCTACAGATGCAATGCACTGCACAAAGTTTCATTTTTAGAAGTCAAAAGCTTAGAGCCACTAGACATGGAAAAGTACATATATATGTAGATATTTTATATTACATGTTAAGATGGAGAAGCTACAACATGCAACAGGAACCCATCCTCAAAATATTCCTTTCACATTGCATGATAAAGTTTCCTTATTCCTTAGATTACAGTTGCGTTAAGAAATGAAAATCATATGGATAAAGTCCAGGTAAAATGTTTCCTGGTTTTACACATAGGAATTCTCATAGAACTTTCATCTGCAAAGCTTATACAATCACATGTAGGGAAAATTCTATGAAACCAAATGGTATAAATATCAAGAAATCTTAAACTATTGGATAAGGATTAACAGTTACAGTATAAAAGCATCATAGAAGGACCCTTGAATTAGATAGATTAATTTAGTGGTAGCCAGATGGCATGGAAGTATTGCTAATCTGCATGCCATAATTCATTTTGGCTATGAGAAAGGCCTAGAAGAAAAATATTCTTTTTTTACTTTATAGCCCTCTAAATATTCCAAGAGAATTTGTCTAATGCTTTTAACTAAAGGCTTTTTCTTCAGCACTATAAGAACCAACACAGCCACAGAATTCTTTCCAGGAAAGTCAAGGTGTTTCTCCTTTTTTTTTTTTTTTTTTTTAGTTTTGTGGTGTGTCTAGCCTGGAATGACTAGTTGCATTAAGCTTGAAGTTCATACAGAAGATCATACTCCACATAAATGGTGTGTTGCATTACGTGAAGGTGTGTTCAACAATTTCCTGTCACAGGGAAATCCAACTGTGCATAAGGTATTCGGTGATGGCTCTCTGTTCAGTCCATTGTTGTTCGGAAAATTCTTTGACCCTTCTGACGCCTTTCCTCTCTGGGAATTTGAGTCAGATATCTTGTTAGCTCATCTCCGGAGCACCGGCCAGACTACCGTTGATTGGTTTCAAACTGACCAAGCTTATGTACTCAAAGCAGAACTACCAGGTATTTTTTCTTTTGTAATCTTTAAATAACTTTCTTACTATGTTTCACATAACAATCTAAGATTAAGGAGTTGAAGCCTTTTTCCCTAACTTGTAAATAGAAAATATACATATATAGCATTGGTAGCATGGTTTCTAAACGCCCTTCATTTGATTGTTTAAGCAGGAGTTGGGAAAAATCATCAAGTGTTTGTGGAAAGTGGGAAGATTGTGGAGATAAGTGGGCAATATAAGCAGCAAAGAGAGTCGAAGACGAAGGATTGGAGAAGTGAGAATTGGTGGGAATATGGACATGTGAGGAGGCTTGAGCTGCCAGAAGATTCAGATTGGAGAAAATTAGAAGCATATGTGAGTAACGACATACTTCTAGAGATTAGAATCCCCAGGAACCCTTCAGGTTGTGACGCTTCCCAAGGAAATACTGGACAAGCCAAAAATTCTGAATCCATGTAATTATCAGATGGGTAATACAATACTTCTAATTAAGAAATTTTCAAGTTTTACACAATGGAATCTTTTATTTGATTAGTATAGGAAAATAATATGCATCTATATTTACATTATTTCATCTTCTTTTTAAACATCCTGATTATACGAACTTCTATCTGCTCTTGCATATAGTATGGATCTTAGGTTCGCACCTGAAAAATTTCTCAATCTTTACATATTTCATACGGAAAATCTAGTTGATCAAACTCTAGCAGCTGGTCATGGAAACTTGATTCTGAAGGGATCATGATGGAAAAGAAAGCATTTATTCGAGGCATGTAATGAAACTGGAAATCCTGAAAGAATTTACATTATTCCAAGTTAGATGGCATCAATTGCCTCCAGCTCCAATTTTTCTTTTTTGCTTGTGTAATCAATTGGGTGGAGATTAGTTATGTTGAATGAACAGAAATAGAAGAGAATAGATGCTCTTCCACCTTACTGTGGACTACTTTCAGCCTTAGTCATAACGTGCCTGGAAAGCAAATATTCTGCTACAGTCATCTAAAGATAAATTAAACAACTCCCTTCAAGTTGTAATGATAGTCAAAGAAAATTAGACTGAGTCGCACTGAATTGTAGCTAACTAATATCAAATTACCCGGACTCGCCCAAATTCAAAGGAACTGGAATCGGCCAGTTCCTTGGAACTGAAACCTATGTTCCTAGTATCCGGATTAATTTTAATTACCCCCTTATTTAAAAAAAATTATAAATAAACCCTCAAAACTTACAAATACACCCCCAACCATTTACAAAAATTGCAATTCAGTCTCAATCCTGTCTGGGTACCTGTATCTCGGTTCCGGTTTTAGTTCTACAAGAATCAGAATTGGAACCAGAATCAACCGGTTCCTAATTTCTAAAATCAGAACCTATCTTGTAAGGATCGGTTCTGGGTAGGAACCAAAACCAGAACCCTGAGTACCTATCGGTTCCGATTCCAACATGTTCTTTTGCACACCCCTAATATCAATCATAGTCAAAGAAAATTAGACAAAGTCACACTGAATTGTAGCTAATTAATATGAATTAAGGGTGGGCAGGTCTGAGTACTCGCCCAAATTCAAAGGAATGAGAACCAGTTGGTTCCTTGGATTTAGAACTAGAACCTAAAGCATAGGTACAATTAATTTTAATTACCGCCTTACTTAAAAAAAAAAGATAAATAAACCCTCAAAAAATTGCAAATACACCCCAAATCATTTACAAAATTACAATTCAATCTCAATTCCTACCCGGGTATTTGAATCTCAATTCCAATTTTGGTTCTCGGTTCCTACAAGGGAATTAGAACTGGAATCGGATCTCGGTTCCGGTTCTGATTCCTAGTTCTTGCAAGGGGAACTAAAACCAACCAGTTCCTGATTTCTAAAACTGAAACCTACCTTATAAGGGTTGGTTCCTGTAAGAACCAGAATCAAGACCGAAACCCTGGGTACCCACGGTTTCGGTTTCGGCTAGTTCTTTTGCACGTCCCTAATATCAATAATTCAATTTGTTGCTAGCCTCTTAAAATACAGTCAAGAACTGATAAGAAAAAATATACATGAATGCTAATTAAAACTGAAGAGTAATGCTGCAGTCACCGAGAGTAGTGCATCGAATGATGTGGCTCAATCCTGACCGTCTATTAATTATAACATAATATTAATCAACGGTCAGGATTGAGCCACGTCATTCGGTGCACAGATTCGGTGCACTATTTCTAGTGTCTCTATTATTTTCCAAAACTGAAATATAGAGTATAGACTCAATCAAACTTTTTAAAAGATCCTATTTTTACCACGTCTCAAATGAATATTACATGTCATCTATTAAATCATGATTCAGCTGACATGAACTCGCCATGTTGATCATATCTGAAGCTTTGTTAAAATTATTGAATATGCATGAAAGGGAATTCTGCCAATTGTATTTGTTGATAACAACATTTGATCATTATGTATAATATAATAAAATCTATGTAAAAACAACATAGTTTATATGACTTCTAACTAATGGACTTAATCTAAATTAAGGATATCTAGTGGAGACATATTTTTCATAAAAATTTACATTTAATAAAGATAATATATAACAAAGAGTAAAGATAGCATCACGATGGGGATGTAGCTCAGATGGTAGAGCGCTCGCTTAGCATGCGAGAGGTACCGGGAACGATACCCCGCATCTCCATTTTTGTTCAATTTTTGTAAATTTTGCAATCTATTGCATTAGGCCCATTAAGAGTTTAGGTAAAGCTCATGATTAATAAGATAGATCAATCATAAATGTAAACATTGAGTGATGGTAGGATTCTGCCACATAATTTTAATTAGAATTTAATTAATTAAACGCATAATTAGTGGCATCTTAATCATACAAGTAAATCTTGGGTGATTCCATCGCATTATGAGTAGGCCCACTAGCTTAATCATATAATAAAATCTTGGATCCAATGGTTATTCCATTTTCCATCCAACACATACACAATTGTCTTGACAACATTCCATTGTTTTTCAGGCCAACCCAATTGCTCCAAAAACATTGGGGCCCAAAATCTTTGGAGCTACTAGTATACATTTGTGATCATACATCAAGGACATTATTAATTAAGCTCAACCGGCCACCACGCCAAACCACAAGATTCCAAACTAATAACACTTCGCCATGTGCTTTCTCAGCTTGGGAATTGCCCAAGTGCAGCAGACAAGATTAGGATCTAGGACTTTATTATTAATCTTCCTCATTAACCCAAGGTAATGACACTGACTGAGCTCCTCATTCAAAGCCACTTTGTTTGACTGATTATGTGATTCCCAACTGAACATTTTCTCAACGTCTCATTTTAATAGCGAGATTAATCATTAATTAAGAAAAAGGATTAAAGAATAATTACATTAGTTTACACACTACTTAAGGACAAATCCATCACATTTATTTTATTACTTTACATGCTACGTGAATATGGGTGACCAACCACCATTGAGTGACATGATGATAAAAAAAACAAAAAAATTTTCATAAACTTCTAAGTTCGAGTCCTTTGCTATACTAATAGGGGTGATCATTTTCGCTCTTACTGCGTTACTAGAATGATAATTCTAGGATCTGGAAAGATTAGTTGAGGTGCATACAAACTGGTCGGAACACCCTCGATGATACTATATATATATATATATAGGAACATCTTAAATATAAACAATTATATGTTTACTAACTTTATGATAGAACAATTGATATGCCATATTAATCCAATTTTATGTTTCCCAAATTGTGGCAAACTGTTTCACTTTCAATAATACTATACTTACAAAGATTTCCATACAAAGTGAGGTGGAAAAAATAAATGGAAGAGTGAAACAAAAAAGTCAAACTCATTAAATTCACTCTTCTATTCATTTTTTGCCACATCACTTTATATGGAGATTCTTATAAAATTTATTTGTAAGTGTAGTATTACTTTTTCACTTTGCATCCAAGATCATCAAAACAGTAGCTTTCATCATCTTTACGCTGAACCAAATGATAGATATATCATATATGAAGAGTACAAGATTGCTTGAAAAGAGGCAATTTCTCAATATGTAACCACTGATTTTACACATATATAATCTTTGATTGATCATTCATAACTCTACCGACAAAACGTTTGCTCTCACTAATTGCCAATTACCTAGAAAAGGGCAAGCCATGGACATCAAGAATCCTCTTTCAAAGAAAGATGTCAGGTCTCTGTTCCATTAGGTAAAGCAGAACTATATCTGCATTTAAGCTGGAAAGTGACCACATTCTCTCTTAGCATCTCACTCACTCTAACCCTTTCTTTTTTATAATGGTAGATTTTAGGATTTGTGAAATTAGCGATTCCATGTTAAAACTTTCAAAACTTCTACACTGGAGATTGGCTGTATACATACATATGAGAAGTTTCATGGGTAAATGTATATAGAGGTCAATAAAGAGGAAGGGTGGTGAAAGGGATTTATCATTTAATTGAGAAAAATGACTGAGTACCAGAACCCAAATAGATATGCCAACTACTGACATGGTTACTTTTAACTCTTTCTGTACTTGTTTTACCCTTAGCCATTAAAGAAAGTGTGAAGAAAAAGTTTTCCCGGAAAGTAAAAGGGAAAATTCTTGACACCCATTTGACGCAAGATTAAAATACTTGTTTATTTCTTCACTAGTGGAAGTGATAAAGTTCGTGGCACCCTTTATTTGGTATAGTAACAACTAACAACAAAGACAAAACCAATAAAATAAATAAATTTTCACTTTTTCTTTTGTTTAAGCTCAACAATCTTGTTATTTAAGGCTTTTGCAGACTGAGAATCCAAGTCTCTGTGTTATTTACCTAACAATTATATTAATTAATTTTTATCAAAAATATTTATGACATTTTTTTTCTTTTAGCTTGAAATTGTCAAGTCAATAAGTCATTTTTTTATATTTTTTTTTGTTAATTATTCTTAATTAGTTGTAAGATTGATAGTATCCTTTTTTTTTTTTTTTTTTTTTTTTTTTTTTTTTTTGTGGGTGGCTAACACAAAAAAAGAGAGAAAAAAAAAATGTTAAGTGGTGTTGTGGTCGTTGAAGTTAGGTTTGTGGTTGATACTTGATACAATTTGGAGCCGGCCAATGTCCAATTAAATTTTAATTTATTTTAAAATTAGGTTATCCAAATTCTAAGCATGTAAGTTGTAACCCTAATAAAATTAAAATTTTATTTTGAGGCGTAACTAAGTTTGTGAATGAGACACTTGGGGAGTTCTAGTGAAAGGGCAGCAATGACCAAATCTTCTCTTTCTTTTCGATTTTTTAATGTTTCTAAATATATGAAAATACTTTTATTTCAATTAAATTATTTCAATTCTTAACTTGTCTCACAAGACAAGATCTCTTCTTATTTTAAATCAAAGTTCCCACATTAATATTTATCTTTTTTTCTATTTGGGAGAAAATATCATCGCAATATTAGTAAACCATACTTTCAAAAGTCCACACATCTTGGATACCCTAATAGATTTGTTTAGGGCCACATGCCTTCATGTGAAATTTATTTATTATTGTAAGGTAAATCTAGTTGTATTATCATTTTGAGCCTTTAATATAGTTAAATAATAATATATTCCGTTATTCAATCTAAACCCAACGTAATTTTTATAATTCAATAAAATATCTTCGATTTTATATAATTTAAATGAATCAGGTAAATATACGTATTAATCTTTTTAAGAGTTATTTTTACCTCCATTAAAATTGTTAGATCAAGATCTAAAGATTACTTGAATTGTATGATCTCAGTATTTTAATTTAGCAATAATTACTGTTGTGATAACGTTATTGTTATAATTAACATACGTGATTGAATTTGTTTACTATAATAACTTATGAACCACACTTATCAAACAAAAATGATCTTTTATTTAATAAATTTACGATAGAACTAATCAATTGTGACATGAGTGTATAACATATTATAAGAAATATATTCTCGGATTGGTTGGTTACACATACATTCCTTATAAAGAGTTTTTCTTCCTTAAGTATGATCCTAAACACATCAAACAAGAAACGATATAAACACTGTAAGGGCAATATAGTCATTACATCAATAAACAGATTTTTCCAATATAGTACTCCGCCTGCTCTCATTTCAAAAACAGAATTTAAAATTCAAAATCAACGGTAATAAATTAATATTATTTTACCAAACTGACCCTACGACCTTTGAGTCAATTTAATATCTAAAAGATTATTATTTCACTGTCTGTCTCAGTAGCAGTACAGAGAAGGGGGGGCGCTTGATCACTTCATCCATCATTCGTTCATCTTCCTCATCGTAAAAGTAACGGCTGTGATTTACATCGGTAGCTTTGAGTGCAATCTATGGCCCCACTTCTCTGAGGAACTAAATTCTTCATATCTCTCTTTCTTCAAAATGGCTTCTAATAACCAGAACAGGCCTCCATTATACAATAACATAACAAAACCCAGCGCTTCCTCCAATGTAAGCTTTCTTGTCCTTTTCTTTTTTAATTAATTTTATCCACTGGGTTTGCTTCTTTATGGTCTCATAGTTAGTGGGTTCTCTTTGTTTGTTTTTAGATTGGGGTCAAAGATCAGTTCTTTCTCTTGTGCATTCTTGGGTTTTTTTCTTTAAAAAAAAAAAAAAAAAAATGTGTTTTTGTTCAAGACTGATTGGTTGTTTCTGAAGTGTTCTTTTTCTTCCCTCTAAATCTTTGTTTTTGTTGTGAATGTGTTAAGAAGAAGTGCAATGGTGATGAGGTGAGTAACTTGAGTTGGGATAAAGAAGAGAATTTTGGAGAAAAAATGGTTGGGACGGCAAATAACGGGAGGCTCCGGCAAGCGTTTTCAGTGGTAAATGGGGTCCAAGATCTTGGTCCGAATAGCAACCCGGCTAGCATTGCGGGGTCTGAATGTGGTGCTATTGAGTTTACAAGAGAGGATGTTCAAGCTTTGTTGAATGAGAAAATGAAATACAAGAACAAGTATAATTACAAGGTGAGTAGCTGATACTTGAAATGATCCCTTTTGCTGTTTATGATTGGATTTTTTATTTATTATTTTTTTTTCACTTGGATTGCTTGGTTTGGGAATTTCAGGAGAGATGTGAGAATATGATGGAGTATATTAAGAGGCTTAGGCTTTGCATTAGATGGTTTCAAGAGCTGGAGGGAGACTATGCATTTGAGCTTGAGAGGTTAAGGAATGAATTGGAATTGAATGAACAAAAATGCGCAGAGTTGGGTATGATTGATTGATTATTTTTGTTTTTTTTTTTTCATTCTTTGTACATTTTTGTTTATGCTGTTTGTAAAGCAAGTTGATGTGCTTGATTGTAGAGCTGGCAAAGACAAACAAAGAGGAGGAATTGAATTTGATAATTGTGGAGTTGAGAAAGAATTTTGCTTCTTTAGAAGAGAAACTTGCAAAAGAAGAATCAGACAAGTTGGTAAGACTACTAGTATTAAATCTATTATGAGTTGTGAAATTTTGTCTAGCTGATTTCTGTTAAAAAAAGCGATTCATTTTTTTTTTTTTGGGATATTAACAAATAGGCTGCAGTGGATTCCCTTGCAAGAGAGAAAGAGACTAGAGCTAATATCGAGAGATCACATGCCTCTCTCTCAGAAGACCTCGGGAAAGTTCAAGAGGAGCTTCAGAGTGCTAATCAGAGGGTACTGCAACGAATCTAATTTGTACTCTTTGAAGTTCTCATGTCCAATATTTTCCCTTTCCTCTTGATTTTGGTACAAATTTGTTCCGGTTAATGTGTTAATTTGGATTTGTTGAACACTGCAGATATTGTCAGTTAGTGATATGTACAAGCTATTACAGGAGTATAACTCAAGCTTGCAGCATTACAATACTAAACTCCAAAAAGATATTGATGCAGCTCATGAAAATATTAAGCGTGGAGAGAAAGAGAAAGCTGCTATAGTGGAGAACCTCAGCACCTTAAGGGGTCAATATAAATCATTGCAAGAGCAACTTTCTTCATGTAAAGTGAGTTTCTATTCCTGGATGAACCATATTCTGCTGCTTAGTTTAGGCATGGTGATATATAGAATTGTTTTTACCATATATTGCGAAGTGTATATACATCTAGGTTATTTCTGCCTTTACCTTTGAGCTGAAAATTGGATTGTTTTATCTTCATTTTCTTTTAGTACTCATATTCCATCTTGACATCTTTTAAAATCTTTTAGGTTTCTCAAGATGAGGCTATGAAACAAAAAGATGCTCTGGTGCATGAAGTTGCTTGTCTTAAGGTGGAGCTCCAACAGGTCAGAGATGATCGTGATCGCCAACTTTCACAAGTGCAAGCTTTAACAGCTGAAGTAGATAGATATAAGGAGTTGGCAACAAATTCAAGCGAATTAGAGGTTTGTTTTACCTTGCCATTTGATTTGAACTCCGGTGGGAGCGTCTTACGCATTTCCCTTTAATAATGCTTTGAGATGTTGGACTTCTTTTACAGACAAGATGTCTTTCACAAAGTAACCAGATAAGGATATTGTCGGATCAGCTAGCTGCTGCAGAGAATAAATTGCAGGTTTTTTCATCAAGTCTTTGGACTATTTTCCATGTAGTTAATATAATATGTCATGTCTTATTCTATTGGTTGAAATTATTATCTAATTACATTTATTGCCCTCTAGATGTCTGACTTATCTGCATTGGAGACGAAAACTGAATTTGAAGGGCAACGAAAGCTCATAAGTGAGTTACAAAATCGGTTGGAAGATGCCGAATGTAAACTTATTGAAGGAGAGAAGCTACGCAAAAAATTACATAATACCATCTTGGTAATGATCGTTTGCAATATTTTCCTTTGTCAATGCAAAGCATTTACTGAAAAGGATTCTCTTATGTTACAGGAACTTAAAGGGAACATCCGTGTATTTTGTAGAGTGCGACCTTTTTTGCCTGATGATAGTTGCAGCATTGAGGGCAGAGTAATATCATATCCTACATCTACTGAAGTCCTTGGAAGGGGCATTGATATTATGCAAAATGGTACGTCTCTAATGGAATAACCACTGAGTTTTTGATTGCTATACTGCTCTTTTAATTATTCAAACTGGATTTTTAAAAATAAACCTCATCTCATTGTTATATTTTTATCAGGACAAAAACATGCTTTCACCTTTGATAGAGTATTTATGCCTGATGCACCTCAAGAAGATGTCTTTGTTGAGATTTCTCAACTTGTTCAAAGTGCTCTTGATGGTTATAAGGTGATTTTTATCTGGCTCCAAGATTTACTCTTACCCTTTAGTCAATCTATAAATATGTTTGTGCAAAGCAATTTCGTCATTCGTACCTCTGTGTTACATTGGATATCAAGTTTTGTTTTCAAAGTCATTTCTTGCAATCTTTATAGGAAACTTTTGATGTTATTCCTCTATTTTCTCCCAAGGCTTGATATGTTCCCTGTGTTCTGTATACATGTTACATCTTGTTTATGAACTGTAATTTCTGTTAAACTTGACTCTATAGTGAGCAATATTTGATTACTTGATGCATGTTAAACTTGACTCTATACTGAGCAATCTTTGATTAGTTGATGCAGTCTTTTTATTAGAAGGGAAATTCATAAATATTCATGTTGCATAAACTTCACTTTGTTATGCTTTTTTTACCCTGCATACGGCTGTATCCCACAGATTTAAGAGATGTTAGTTTTTCTTTTCAGGTTTGCATTTTTGCATATGGCCAAACAGGTTCAGGTAAAACCTACACCATGATGGGCAAACCTGGACAAAAAGGTCTAATACCACGCTCACTTGAACAAATATTTCAAACTAGGCAATCTCTTCAACCTCAAGGCTGGAAATATGAGATGCAAGTAAGCAGCAATATCTGACTGTTGTTGGTGGTTTTGCTCTTTTGTTTGAGTGGTTGACCAAAACATTTTCACTTTTTGCAAACATCAATAGGTTTCAATGTTAGAAATATACAATGAAACAATCCGTGACCTGTTAAATCGAGATGTAACACGGACAGAAAATGGTGCTGCTGGAAAACAATATGCCATTAAGCATGACGCAAACGGAAACACACATGTTTCTGACCTTACCGTTGTGGATGTCTGCAGTGCTAAGGAGGTTTCATATCTTTTAGATCGGGCTGCACATAGCAGGTAACTAGTTTAGAATATGTAGTATGATTAGTGATATCCATATATTAAGAGAAAAGTCTCAAAGCATACTAGGATGGCTGTTTCCTATTGCCTTTTATTGAGTTCTATGTTTTGCTTTTTTTAATGTGTGCTTCTAATTGTTTTTTTAATAACTAATCTTCTTAATGTCACTGATGTTTGTTACACATGATGAAACGTTTGGCATGATTTATGTTGTTGGATGAGAAAAAATATAATGATTTTTATAATAAGGGAAATAGCTTACAACGTGATTTTTTTTTTTTTTTTTAAGTTGCATCATCCTAGTTTTCTTAATTCATTTACTTCAATTTAAAAACATTGTATTTGTTTTATCAGGTCTGTAGGCAAGACCCAGATGAATGAGCAATCTTCAAGAAGCCATTTTGTTTTCACATTGCGGATATCTGGTGTTAATGAGGTATAACACCCTTATGCTAGTTACATCCACTAATATGTATAGATGCTGATTTGCTCTCTCTCATGTGCTGCTGTCATCATAACTTTTAATATGTCCTATTAATTAGCTGTTTATTTATTGTCCACTAGAGTACTGAACAACAAGTACAAGGTGTGTTGAATCTAATCGATCTTGCTGGGAGTGAACGTCTTTCTAAGAGTGGATCGACTGGGGATCGACTGAAAGAAACTCAAGTAATTGAACATATTGCTATAAATTCACTTTTTCTATTTTTGTTAATAGTTATCCGTTTTTAGGCTAATGAATTTTTCTTTTAAATCTTTGACAATTGTATTCAGGCAATTAATAGAAGCTTGTCATCATTAAGCGATGTGATATTTTCCTTGGCAAAAAAGGAGGACCATGTACCATTTAGGAACTCAAAGCTCACTTATCTGCTTCAGGTAATTGTTTTAACGGTTTACCGAAGGATAAATGATGGTTGTGTTAGAATTTTCGTTCTATAACAGTGTCTGATTTCTTATCTTTCCCAACAAGAATTTTTATGTCATAGTGATATCCTTAGTAAACCTTCGAGGATAATTTAGTTAAAAACTTCACTTTCTGAGGCATGCAATCACCATTGCCAAAGGAAGACTGGAAAAAAGAACAAAGCTCTACTTTTAACTACTCTCTATCACCTTACTATTAAACAAGTAAAAATATATATAAAAGAACCTTGTAAAATTTGTAATTTGATCTTTCAACTACCAGTGCGTATAACTTGGCTGTGCATGAAAGATTCAATAGACTATGGCCTGAAACAATGAAGATCCTTTCTCTTTTCTAATTTTTCTCCTTTGTATTAGTAAATGAATTTCAACTTTGACTAGCAAAAATATGCAGAATAAAATATATACCTACTTATTGAATTACTTGTATCTTTTAGTTGGCTCTGGTTCATTCTTAATTATAAATGATTTTTCTAACTTTCTTTGAATTGACAGCCTTGTCTGGGAGGGGACTCGAAGACATTGATGTTTGTAAATATCTCTCCCGAGCCTTCCTCAGTGGGTGAGTCACTATGTTCACTCCGGTTTGCTTCCAGGGTTAATGCTTGTGAGATTGGAACTCCTCGACGCCAAACTAACACGCGGTCTTCAGAGTCTCGCTTGAGCTACGGCTAATCTCTGATATAACACAATCCTGAAGGATTATCTTCTTTCTATTTGTGGCTATATGTATATCTATGTCTCTAGTAACAATGAACCAAGAGTTTATTGTGATTCTAACATGAGCTGCTTGTAATTTGTATAGAAAAGAAATCTTTTATTTTATATCATTAAAGAGACTATCCTCTCAGTGTATTACTACTGATATTGATCCATTCTAACATTTCGTTCACAAAATTCATTGTATCATTGAACAATACTTTCTATGTTAATTTATAGGATTGTTTCTTCTATCTTGCCTTATCAAAATGGTTCATAACTTCATATCTTTAACTGTAAATTGTAATCAAAATCACAGCACAAATTAAGAAGCACAGCAAACAAAGAAAAATATTTGGGAACAAAATCTAAGTTGATCCCGCAATGATCAGATTCATTGCTATCACCTGAACCAGACTGATTTTTGTCCACATACGAACAGTAGATTCTGCTGATTTATCCCATACGATCCATAACCTCTTGAAGAATAGCAGTTGTGGATGCATAATAAGATTCTGTCTGCGGGAAGTTCTTCGTCCTCGCAGCATCTTCAAGCTGTTAACACATTGAGAATTTAACAATTACAAATTAGCTACTTAAAGTTTCAATCTTTAAAAGGGTACTGAAGTTTTACATACATGAGTTCATTTACCTTCTCAAAATTGTCAAACAATCTGTTGGCCAAATCAGTAAGAGGCTGCTTATCACTCACTGACGCTGCCGAGATAACTTTGTCAAAATCATAGTACATGAAAGTGGATTTGAGTCTCAAATACTTCCTCACATAGTTAAGTGTATCAGGTGTAACCAAATCCGCCATTGCCAGGAGATCAAATGCATATTTCTTTAGCCTATACATGCTACCTTTGACTCCAATATTTGCCATATAGATTCCTTTCTTTAGAAAAGAACGTGTGCCAGTTTTCTCATTAGCAATATCTGTATTTAAAGCACACAATTATAAGCAATTTCTAATCAATCAACAATGTGAGAAAAATTGCTTACTGTTGTATATTGGAGGAATAGGTAAAGGGCCAGTGATCCAGAAACCATTGTCTTCAGCAAGAGAGACTCCACTGCTAGTAGAAGTTGCAGTAAGTGCTATAGAAGCAAGGCCTAATGCCACTCTTCTTGTAGTTTGTACTGGTTGTTCTTGCAAGTTTTCTGTTTTGTTGCCTGAAAAACTAATTATTTTAGCTCCCTTTTGGGGTTTTTGAAATCTGGGAAGCTTTGGAATGGCTGGTAGGGTCTCAGAAATACCATTTAAGTTTGCTAAATGAGCCATTGCAGAAGCCTTTTGAGTGAGAGTGAGAGTGTTGAGCTTTTAATAGAGTGAGAATTTGCTTAGTTTCAGTGATATCCATTTGGAAAGTGTTGGTTACTACTGACCACCAGAAGTATATCCTTATTGAGGATAGTCTTGTCATTTGGTCAGAAACTCAGAGCCAACTCGAGTTCCAAAACTTCTCTAATATGCCCCTTTGTTTCCTTATATTTCTTTCAAAGTATGATTTTTCTTAGTTTGCTTTGCAAGCCCAAGCTACAGCTCGAGTTCGAAGTTGGAGCCCCGATTGAAAGCTACAATATTTAGGAAATGAGAAACAATGACATTTGATCATTAAAGTGCTCACGAGAGTGCTCAAACCCCAAACTTTGTTGGAGCGAACGACAAGCCTAATCATTTTGGCTAAACTCTAATGAGCTCCCACTTACAATTGGTACTCATTATGCTTTTCTTCCAACCGCATATTCAGTTATAATGTTTAATGAAAAAGGAAAACAACCTGCTAATAAGTTCAAAGACATATCACAGAGTCATACATTTCACCTCAATATGCTGATCACAAGCTGCAAACAGGATGGTGATAAGGATTATTTATGCTTAATCGTTGATGTCGACCTAGTTACAGACAAAAGGAATGAGTCTACAGAAGCACAATTTCATTGACATTTGTGCCAATGAAAAAGGATCCTTTGTTGTGCTAGACTAAACTTCTAATGGATATGGTTGGCTCAATCCCCAAGTCAGCAGTTTCCTTAAAAACTCTACCCTCTAACGCCTGGATTTTGACACATTTTAGCTCATAATCCACGGAAAAAATATGCCATATATTTATTAGAGAAAGAAAATCTGCAGAAGACGAATACAAATACATGTTTGGTAGAAACAAATAACAGTATAGATATTTATTAAGATATCAAATATGAACCAAATCAGTTCATGATCATGGTGACCACAGAATTGGATAATGCATAACATCTTTTACTCATGATAGATTAGTAGGTACCGCAAGTGGGTCCTTTGCTACTTAATTTCGTCAATTTATTCCATCTTATCTACTAAAAAAATAATAAAACAAGCAAACGTTTCCTGTATCCTTAGCAGAAAAAATCTCTAAAAATATCTCCTTCTTCCTCAGAAAAAGAAGTGCTAGAAGAAGAAACAAAAAAAAAAGGAAAGAACAAAAATGGAAGAGAATGGACAGTTAAAGAAGTCCAGAGTTGTGAAAGTAGACTCAAAGGAATCATGGGATTTCTTTATCAGTCAAGCTACTAATCAAGGCTGCCCTGTGAGTGATTTTAATTTGTTGCTCTATGTTTATGCACTTAGTGCAAATTAATCGGATAAGTTTCTCATTATATCATGCATAAGCTGCATATTTATATATCAGTTTCAATATATTTCTCCTTTCGCAAATTGCAGGTTTTAATACATTTTACTGCTGCATGGTGCATGCCTTCAGTGGCATGAACCCTTTCTTTGAACAACTTGCCTTATCATTCCAAAATATCCTCTTTTGTGTGGATGTTGATGAGGTGAAGGTTAGTAAATGTATAATCCCATTATATTTAGAATCTTAAATTACAAGCTTCATATTGATAATTTGATTTCTTCAATTTCCCCAGTAAACTAACAGGTTTTCCTTATGGTTTAACAGTTTCAGTAGGTTATTTTACTTAAAAATAAAAAAGAAGGCAATTGGATTGATCTCTGTTGATTGAAGAGGACAACAATTTAATAAAAAACTGCATAAAAAACTTTTATTCATAACATGTCAAACATGATACTGCATGTGATTTTATTCTTTTTATATATATATATATATATATATATATATATATATATATATATATATATATATATATTATTTTGTTTTTTTTACAATATTTTCATTGAAGCCAAGGCCAAAACTTATTATAGATCCTGTCAATTAAAAAATACAATAACCTTAAATTTAAAAAAAAAACAAAGAAAAGTCACTTCACCACCTAACCTTTTATAAAATAAAATAAATTATATATTCCCGCTTTATTTGATTAAAAAAGCTAAATAGGAGGCTAAATAATTAATGGGTCAACATAAAATTTTATATACTGATGCTTCCCATGAATTAAATTTAGTCCAATAAAACAAACCCCACGTTGAACATGTTTAAGTTAATTTTTACGATTAGATTTTGATATTTGACTACACCAAACATATTTTTGCTAATTAATCTTATTTTAATATTAGGAGGTGGCAACCAAGATGGAGATCAAGGCCATGCCCACCTTTTTGTTGATGAAGGGAGGAGCTCAAATTGACAAGCTTGTGGGAGCTAATCCAGAAGAAATTAAGAAAAGAATCAATGGTTTCATCAACTCCATGAGTTAAAATGTGGATAAATATGTGTTCAATATTTGTTAGATTTTCTAAAAAGGATATGGGGTGTTTTTTTTTTTATTTTTGTGCGTTAATTGTTCTAATGGGTAGTATAAATAAGATTTTAATTTCTTTTATTACTTCAACCTGTTTGCCTAGGCTTTGATTTCTTTTTGATGATCGAGGGTTTTAGGTAGTTTACGTACACCGCAATGGACCTTAAACATATCAGTCGGTAAGAGCTCTAATGACCACCTTATTACAATTGAGGAATGATCGAACTCAGACCTCTAGTATGAGTAATACACACAAGAATCTCTATTGAACCACTCAACCATCCAGAGATTGGGTAGTCTTTGTAATTTGAGTTCTTTGATGAGAAGGAATGGAAAAATATCATTTAAGCTATAAATAATAACTAAACATCACCTAAAATGCCACAATCAATAGATGACATGTTATGTTGGGGGCTGCAACTGTAACTGACTAAAATTAATATTTATATAACATTTTAAAGGCAAAAGGAGCAAATGATTCAACATTTTATCTACCAATGAATAGCATTGTTGGATATGAGCATTAGCAATTAGCCACTTCCTAAAGCCAAACTCATTAAATAAGATGCCCCAATGACCACTTCATTTACTTGCCCAAAATACTTGTATAAGTTAGGGTTTGTGGATGGAAAAAAAAATAAAATAAAAAAAGAATAATTGAGCTACTAAAGGGCTAGACGTAGAGCTTGGGCCTACAGGCCCATGGGCCCATTACTTTGAATAAGTTTTGACCTATGAACCACCTCACTTTTGGCACACTTGAACAGGTAGAGTTGAATTTTGAAGCACTATCCCATACCATCAGTCTTAAACGCATCACTTCGACCAATGTTGTAAAGACACGTCATCCATTGCTTGTACTTGACATTATCACAAACTTGAAAAAGCTCCTCAGTTTCCACATGGTGTTGTCATGCCCCACGTGTTTTCGGAACATTAAAAACGTTTTCAATCTACAAGTTTGAGTTGGGCTTAAGGCCCAGGTCCAATAAGAAGCCCAGAAGACCAGGCAAAGAAGACCGTTCACTCTCACGCCACACCTGCCACACCAATACCTCAAAATTCCACGCGGAGATTCCCCTTTTTTCCTTTCTCTCTCTCTCTTCTCTCTGCACAACCCTGTTTGTTTCCAGGAAAATTCTTGCCGCCGGAAAATAACCTTGAAATTTCCGGCAAAAGAAAATGGTTTCCCCGGAAAATACGAATTGGCTGTACGATTTTACCATGATCGACGACATGCCTGTTCACGATGCCAATTTCTCTGTCTCTGCTTCGGGCTTTACTTGGCCCGTTCAGCCCATGAATGGGTCCACTAATGTCAGGTACTTCAGATATGTCAAAAAATAATTTTATGTCTATTAATTAGGGTTTTTATTAGATTTTTTTTCTGTTATGTTTTTGCTTAATTAATAAATTAGGGTTTGTAAAAGATCGAAAATTGAGAAAAAACTTGGAATTCTGATTTGCCTTTTTTTTTTTTTTTTTTTTTTTTGGGGTATGGGATATGAGCGTTTTAATTGAATTTGAGGCTAAAGTTGCATATAGAAAGCTGATTTCAGAAATATAGTATAGTTTAATTTTGTTGTTCACTTTCATTATCATGTTTAAATAGATAATATGAAAATCGTGTAACGATTTTGGGGAATTTATTGATAACTTTCATTGTTATACTCTTTAAGTGCACGAGCGATTGTGGGGTTAATACATTGGAGATTTAGTGACAAATTTTCCTGAAGAAGAAGACTACCGATTCCATCAAATTATAGATCTATGGCTGAAACCCATGTTGAATGCAGCCTAAGTGTCGGATTAGAGTTTAGGTACTGGCTTTTGGTGGGATTTAAGTTTAACCTGTCATTAGCTAATATTTCAGAAGAAGACCTCCATTTTCTTTGTCTCCAAAAACAATGTAACTGTTTGTAGCTAAAGAGTTTTTTCAGTTCACGGTTTTTAAGGCAGAAGATATTACTGTGAGAATGATTGTCATGTGTGATTACTACCAATATGAACCTGATTCAGAATTTTGATTCCCATTTTCTTGCAAAATGTAGTAAATGCTGAGTATTATAGAATTCGAGTAATAAAAGGTTCAATATGTTTAGAACTGGTGAGAATGAAAAATCATTTTGCAATTTTTCATTGTCCAGTAAGATCTCACTGTGTGATTTATTGCACTTTTTTTTTAGTCTTTACTGGTTTTGTGTTTGATGTGATCTTTTCCTAGTGTGGATTCTATCGCTGATGCCTCATTTGGGGATTCAGATGGCCTAAAGGAAAGTGGCTCAAAAAAGAGGTAATCAATTCTCCTCATCTTCTTTTTCCTGCTTATCACCTACATCATACATATCTGTGTGCTGTTCATGAATTTTGAGCAGTGACTTCCAAGAAAATGATGCCAAAATGATACTATATGAGCCAGTACTGGAAAAATTGAGTTTTTTTATTTGAGAATTTCAATACTCTGCTTTCTTAGAAGCACTCCTTACTTAAGGATTTAAATAACATTTTGACCCACCTGAGTTATCATTTCCTTAAGAGCTTGTGCACGTTGAATGTATGCTGCTTCTTGTCAGCTGCCTCACTATAAAAATACTGGGGGTTGTTGTGCCACATGAGCCAATATATGTATCACTGGAAAATATCTTCTCATCTCATTTTTCGTAATGCAGGGGTAGATCTGAACCGTGCACTGCTGCATCTAGCTCCAAGGCTTGTAGGGAGAAGTTGCGTAGGGATAGGCTGAATGACAAGTACTCATTTTTTCTCTTCCCTTCTTGCTCAATCTTCTATTTTCTGTCTTCGTTCATTCTGAAGCATGAATGGCCAATGCTTTTGGCATAATTTATAGGTTTGTGGAGTTAGGCTCTATCTTGGAGCCTGGGAGGCCTCCCAAAACAGATAAGGCAGCTATTTTGATTGATGCTGTTCGGTTGGTTACCCAACTACGTGGTGAAGCCCAGAAATTGAAGGACTCAAATTCAAGTCTCCAAGAGAAGATTAAAGAGTTGAAGGCAAGTCTGGTTTCCTTTGCGTTAGAACTGTGAGGATGAGATGTTTTCTTAAAGTTTTATCTGTTAATGTTTTCTTCCATTTGTATGTCCTCTTATGTAGGCTGAGAAGAATGAGCTTCGTGATGAGAAGCAAAGGCTAAAGGCGGAGAAAGAGAAGTTGGAGCAGCAACTCAAGGCTATGAACACACAACCCAGTTTCTTGCCTCCCCCTGCAATTCCTGCTGCATTTGCGGCGCAAGGCCAAGCTCCTGGCAACAAGTTGGTGCCTTTCATTAGTTACCCTGGAGTTGCAATGTGGCAATTCATGCCACCAGCTGCAGTGGATACCTCACAGGATCATGTGCTCCGCCCTCCAGTTGCTTAATTCCGCAACGTACACTGTTTTGGATTGGCAGTTTGCACCTAACACAGATGTATCCGTTCTGTCATTGCTCTCGACTGTATTAGTTCTGCTGAAGTCTTTTAATTGGATTTGGTGGATGACTGTACTTGAATTTCTGTACTTTATGAATCCTTGCTTGAATTACATGTAAATTTTAATAAATTACCTGGCAGCCGATATTTTCAATTTGGATAAGGGCCTTGACTATTTTACAATTTTCACGATTGTCCTAGGGCCATTCGGAGAGGGCTGCTTTACTTGCAGTCTTAGATAAGTCAAGGAGACAACGATAGGTTTTGATTAATTTAACTAATCAAGTAATACAAATTTCTACATACGACTAATTTTCCTGTTGGCTTATATCTCCTGTCAGGAATTTGTGGTAATTTTGTCGATATAAAAATTAATACCTTTTGGGTGAAAGTTGGAGAATGAAATCTCGATTCTCGTCAACCCATTTGGGTAAAATCTGAGTCAAAAGAATAGTGTCAAGCTGAAGGGCTACCAATCTGCCAACATATCTTATCTTGTTAGAATTTTGCTGTATTTATCTTCTACTCTTCTGTTTAGTGTTTACTCGAAGTCTCGAATGGCTTCTAATATTCTCAAACTTCATATACAAACCTTCAAAACTTCAAGTCCTTCATCCCCAGTTCGACAAACCAAAACCCACTTGCCATCTCTACCATTTGCATTAAATCACCATTACCATTCCCATATCTCTTCTCTCCCATCAACTCTCTCTTGCAAACTTCAAGTCCCTGCTCTTTCTCTGCAGTCCTCCTTATCTCTCTCCACCCCACCAACCACCAAAGAAGAAGCCATCCTTCAAGCCAAAACCTGCCTCTCAACTACCCTAGAAAAGCCTCTCAACAACCCCAAGCTTGCCGGCAAACTCAAGAAACTGAAACAACCCAGATACCGTATTGAAATTCCAATCATTGATGACTCACCATTTTCCCTCTCTCAACTTGCTTTGGATGTGTTTAAGGACCTTCCCGTTAGAAGAAAAGGTTCATCAGTCAAAATCTTAATTCTTTGGCCTAATGTTGCCTTAACAGAAGCTGCTGCAAAACTCTTTGAGTCACATTCTTTAAAACAAGTTGAACATGTTGACTTATCTTCAATTTCTAATGAGAATATCAGAGTCTTGAGTTCTGCTGATGTGGCAATATTTTTGGCGGCAGAGGAGTCACAACTGGCTGTTATAAGGACAGTTTCTGACAGTTTTTATCCAAAGCCAGTGGTGATTTTCAATCCCAGATGGGCATTTGAAGAGGAGGATGATTTTGGTGATTTGACTGGTTTTGTGGGTTCTTTTGATGTGATATATTCATTTATGGGATTGGAAGTTAAGGGTATTTTGAGTAAAAGAAAAGGAGTTATTTTTAAATGTGTAAGAGATGGGGTTTTGAGTGGTGAAAGGTGGAATGTTCTTGTTGAAGAGGAAGGAGAATTGAAGGTGGTTTCCAAGTTTAAAGTGCGCCCATCGATTGGTGAAGTTGAGACTGTTTTGTATAATTTGATGGCTATCAACTCCCCCATCACAAAATCTGCCAAGTTTTTGAAAGATTTGGTGTCAAATGTAACCGGGAAAAAGTAAGTTTAGTTGTATACTTTTGGTCAAATTTTTCGCTTAAAAAATGAGGACTTTGTGATTCTATTTCTTGAGTTGCGTCAATGAATGTGATTGAATGCTAATCTCTTGCTTAGTTAGTAAGTTTAACTTGTGCTGCATTGAAACTTTTAGAAGTTAGGTAAGATCTGAAATTTAGACTGTTCCTATTATCTTCTATGCTGCACTATTTTTGTTGGTGACATTAGTGATGGGGCTCAATAGGGTGAATTCTGCATTTTTTTTTTTTTTTTTTTTTGGTACACAGGATGAATGTAAATTTTATTCGGTTTTAGACTTCTTGAGTTGCTGAAATTGTGAGAGAAATCTGGTTTCAGTTTTCATATTTGTTGATGGGAAATAATGTAAGTTAGATTCGAAATAACGAGGAAATTAGGATTTTTCAAGAGAATAATCCTTGCTTAATAGACAGAAAAGGTGATTCCAAGAAGATGCCTAACGAAACGTTTGATTTTGTCAAGCCATTTTAGTAGTCAAAATTAGATGTAAACCAAGAAGATGATGTGAGGCTGTAATCAGAGAGAGGGAGAAGAAACCACTTTTTTGACATGGACTGCTGAATTGGATTATTAACTAAAATGAGTTGATGAAAGTACTGAGAAATTTAACAAGGTTATATAATTTTCTATTTTCTGGTTGAAGTGTTAGTTAATTTAAACATATCAAGTGGTTGAGCTTGCACTTTCAGCTTAAATTGTGAGCAATGCATTGTTCTTCATTGGTGAAAAGATGCATAAAGATAAGGATGTTGGTGTTGACCATAGAATCTGATGTTATATATGACCAATATGACCTACTTATCACTTTCTTCGAATTGTGATCTTTGCTTGTTATCTGGACTAAAGAAATTAATGTTTACAAAATACTCTCCCAAAATGTCCACATCTAAATAGGTTGCTTATGGAAAGTTCTGCCTTCAAACTCTGAAGTCCTGTTTGGTTCGGCTTTCTTCATTTCATTTTTTGATAGAATGCAACATTATTATTATTTTTATTATTTCCCTTTGAAAAAACAGGAGGTAATCCAAATTTCATTGACCCATTACAAGTTTTGAGTTGAAGCCGAAGTCTTGATTCTGGAACTGTGAACAAAACAGATGTGCAGTGCACTGGTTCTGTATTTGAGCAAACTTGTAGTAAAGATATCTGATTTGAGCTTGTATTCTAGTCAAGCTCTTAAGAATCAGTCATGTTTATGTATGATAGAAATCTACAACATATAAGATAAATACTAATGGTATAAAATCTTTCAAATGCTATTTTGCGTGGAATATTTAACAAAAGGAAGAAGAGATCCAGAAAACAAAAAGCCTGGTGCTGTTTTGATTTTACATTCTGTATTGGCGGCCTCGATTAGGGAAGAATTCTCTCCTTTTATCTCTTTACCCTTTTATCTCATATACAAATACATTTTTCATCATTAATATGGTCAACAAATTCTCTCAAAATTCAACTTAATATGCCCTGATATGACAGCTTTTTATGAACTTATCAGAAAAGTTTATATACTTAGACCACAAAGGCCGAAGTTGAGGGAAGGCTATGTCTAGCCAGGGCTTCGCTCTGCCATTGAAATGGATGACACCAGCGCTCTCTGCATCGGCAAAACTAGTATTTTCCTGGTAACCCAGCCCCAGCATGTGCCAGAAAGGATCAATAACGTGGACATGACCATGAAATGCTATTAAACCTGGGGGTAATGTTCCCAGCTGCCACAAACTCAGGTCTGATTTCAGGTTCTGTATCGCGAGAAACAGAATGATGTAAGAGTTCAACATTTTGAACGAATGAATTGAATGCTATTAACTGTAATGAGATGATTCAAACATGTTTGGGTGCTTACCTCTTCTAGCCAGTGATGGTATGTCTGGCTTATGTTGGTTTTCCTCCAAGCCTCTAGATCAAATATGTTCATGCCATAAGCCCATGCACATTCATTAGGGTCAAAATTGCTTGATATTAAAGGATGGGAGAAATTCAGATAGCTTTTTAACTTCTTTGACATAACAAACTTATCTTCCCCTCTACATGTCTCTACTGCACCATTAACTTTTCCATTCATATCAATGTCCCAGAGAGGAGAAAGATCAGTTTGAACCACAATGTCATCGTCAAGGAACACTACCTTGTTGAGGCTTGGAAACAACTGTAAACAAAATGCATTCAGCGCAAAATTAGTAAGATCGTTGTCGGCTTCTGGAGGGAAAGAAATGAGCATATGTTTCTTACCTCTGGTAGATGAATACGAATGTGATTCATCAAAGAGTTGTATTTAGGACTAAGTGCTTGTAGCTTTGAAGCGATGACAACAGGCTTCTCAGTATTATTTGCCACAATTGCTGATGATCCCCCTCTAAACTGTGACCGCACCCGTTGATCTTTTTCCATTGCTTCTAAAACCGGCACCTTACCCTTTGAAAACCAGTCAAAATGGTTCAATGCCTTAACCTCAATTACAGCCGGCGACAATGAGTGCAATGAGAACCAAGCCTGCATTGGATAGTAAGTTTTCCTATCTGTTATTATGTGCAGCACAATTTTCTGGGGGCGTAACGAGTTCTTCACAAGTGATGTTGCAACGACAGATGTAGCAAGCACATTGTCAGAGGCGAGGACATAGTGAAAGTAGGAGTTGTCGACGAGGGCTGGGACAAGTTCTGCCGAGGGGAGCTGGAGGCGAGCAGCTGCATTGGTGGAGTGTTCATTGGCTAACCTTAGAGCTAGGCAATGGAGCTGCTTTGGTATGCTGCTTGAGGCTACATGGCGGTATAAATATTCTTGGATTTTGGCTGTTCTAGTCCTTTGTTCCATAAGTGTAACCTGGAACAAAGCCAATATTGATTAGTCTAAATTGTGTATTTGCCTTGCTTTAAAATAAATTGGAATTGCAAAATGCTGGATTTTTAACATACCATATCTCTAAGCTTGACAGCAAAGGTCTTTGCATCTGATTTGCTTTCCTTAATTTCGGCCATGAATTCTTCTAATGTCTGAGGAATATCAGATCTTTCTTGTAATGCATCTTTGCTAATGGGTTCTTCTAGTATTTGGTATATCACTTCTTGGACCTACAAACCACAAAAAGTTCTAATTAAGTCATATAAAATTAGCACCAATTTCCAACATTTAAATTTGAATATAAGAATTTTTTTTTTCCTGTTAAAACTAGGGGCTAGGAGGTTACATTATTAGAATCAGTCCTTCTTCCAAGGATCCTTGGTCCTAGTTTCTTTCCCAGGCAACCTAAATCACAAGAAAAAAGAAAAAATATTAGTTTGCAGAATAATCACACTTGTTATGCAGTCTCTTTCTTCTTACTGTCTGTTAGGTGGCACCAATGAATGTAGCTTATGAACCGACCATACCTAATATAATATTTAATTGTTTTATGTTTCCCATGAAATCACATGATATTCGCAGTGAACTTCTTTCAGAAAAAAATTACTCACATAGATACATAAATGCACCTACGATTTTCCTACATGTGTACAACTACAACTATGACTGGTTTCTTCACAATAATCTAAGAGGCTATGGAGGATTTTCATTCTTCATTGAATCTCTTATCAAAAAACCAAAATAAAATAAATTCCTAGTATCTAACTCAATCACAAATGATGAACATTGAAGTTTAACGAAAGGTTGATAATATTATTCTGCGAACACATTCTTCTTGTTCTTGAACTCCAATATCTATATATCAATGATGATTATATGTACTAATGTTTTTCTGAAAATGAAGGACTTGGGATAAAGCAAAATGGCTTAAAAATTAAAGCATGTTACGTTACCTATAGTAGAGCATTTGGCGTCTCCATCAATGGTATCTACAGTGGTCAATACAAACACAAACCGGAGAAGAAATGTGAAGAACAAAAGAGAATAGAAAAGCATTCGATATGACACCCTTCTGGATCCAACCTTCACTTTCATAAACTCTCTAACACCTTTGCCTTGAAGCACTGTTACATGCCTCAAACTCGGCGATATATGAAGCTGCATTTTCTCTCAGAAACCAAAACAAGCACCAATAAAACGAAACCCACCCGGCTAGCTAGAGTTCTTCTTCTTTCTGGTTTATTTAGTTCTTTTGCCAAAGAAGAGCGAGCTGCGCAAGTTTGGAGGAATCCCAGTTTGAGAAATGCTGTAAAAGGAAGGATATTGATGGTGTATGTTTAAGGTAGCTGTCAGTTACCTAACCTTGCTTAGCAAATGGGCTAGAAATAAAAGACACACCAAGTCTATATTATGAACACATGCAGCTTATAAAATTCGAGAAACAAAGAGGGTTGTTAAAGAGAAAGAGACTGGGGACTTAGAAGAGGATGTGTTTGTTTTCAAGTCTTGGGTATTTGGCTTAGTTTAGAAGGAGGGAAGTTGAGAGTTGAGAGAGAGTAGAAAACAAAAAAATAAATAAATAAGTAAATTAAACATAAAAAGATGAAACGGCATTGTTTGGTATTACTTAGCTTTGCCTGCAGATGAAGTCTTAGAATTGTAGCATACAATTTAGAAAATTGGAAGAGAGTTATATAATAAGTTTGACAATACAGAGTTTCTAAATGGAAAATGACTTTCTCTCTTTCTTTCAGAAGTGGGGTTTGGCCTTTGGTTGTTGGAGTGAAAACACAGGAACATCTACTATCATTTTAATAACAAATAAATTGATAGAACGTGAAGCAGGCTCAGGCTTAGCTTTAGTGGCGACATTTATATTTACTTATTTTATTTCATTTGCCATTTTTTTAATTTTTGTCAGGATTTAGATTTGGTATTTCAATTTGCACATGAAAAGTATATAAAAAAAAGAAAAGGAAGATGACGGTTAGTGAGATTGAGAATTCAAGTTTGACAATCTTTAAAAGGAAAAAAAAATCAACTGATGTTCATTTTCTTCAATGTTCTGGTCAAGTATTCTACATCAATGGCTTATTATTTGAATAACATCTTAGTGATTATCAAGCTCAGGGTATATTAAATTAAAGAAGTTTAATTTATAATTTTAATTACTGTTTATTGAAAGTTATTAAATTAAACTCTAACTGAACATGGCTTTAATAAATTTTTTTTTTTAATAATGTAAAAAAATTCATTTGGTGAGTAAGAAAATCATGAGATAAAAAAAAATTAAGCCCATTACCTGGACCAAGAACCGATTATCCAAATTTGTTGGACTGGATTGTATATCAACAAACAAATGGGCCTTATTAAATGAGTCCACTTTTGAAACAGATAACCCAGAATGATTTTGAGTAATTATTCAAACTTATAATATTATTTATAACCATTCATGAAGTTAAAATATTTTACACAGATTTCTGTTGATTTATGTATAATTTATTTATTTATTTTATTATTATTATTTTTTTTTTTCAGTTGAGCATGATTAATTGAGTTGGATTATGCATGCTCCTTAGATGCAAAAAAAACTGTTATAGGATTCTTTGTTGAAGCCAAATGGTTGAATTAATGTTACATTCCTACATTTGAGGAATATATGAATTTTGTAGTTGAAACGTCTTGTTGTAAATCATTGAGATCGACGTAATAAATCCAAATTTTACGACAACTCATCTTAAGTCAATGGTCCCTAATCACTTTTACAACCACTCATATTAGTAATCCTTCACCTTATTAAAACAAATAAATCGTGTTCTCAATTGTTTCAGAAAAAGATTTTTCATGTTTATCTATTCAACACATGATTCACAGAATAAAGCTTTACTGAAGTTTGTTAAGTTAAACTTTAACATATACATATTGTCGAAAAATATCATAGTTTAAAGGAGGGGTTTCCTTTTAAGAATACAGGTTTAGAAGAAAAAAATAAAAATAAATACTAAAAATGTAGAGTGAAGAAATTTGTGAACCAATCATTACGTACTTAAACTGGCAAGTTTATATTTATAGCAAGGAGATAACAGTTTGAATACCAGGAATTGTCCATAATATTTGTTACATTTATATTTATCTGCATGATTATAATATTATTGCGACCAGTTACTCGATTTTACCGTCAAATTTATCTAGAAACAATTGGCTAACAATTCATTTAGTTCTTGGATTCGTGTTCTAAGAATGAGATTAAAATATTTTCACTCATTAGAGTTAAGTGATAAATATAATCAAATATTTTCAGATTTCTTAAATAACAAAAATTCTATTGTCGTTAATAAATTATTAATGAGTTGTTAAAATTAACTCTATTATGAATTAGTAAATATGACCAATTTGCCTTGCTACCGTTTATTTTAATATTTAAAACTTAATGATAGAAGAATTTATGTTATTTCCAAAATCTTAGAAAGATATTTATTATTTGACCATACCTCAGGGGATTAAGTCACTAACCCTATTTTCAATGCACAATAGTTAACACAGATTGCAAATGCTATAAATGGAGAAATGATCCACTAACAATTAGCACGTAATAGTTAGTATATTTGGTGCATTCTACAATTTCTGAGATTAAAAATTGGATTTTAATCCATTTAGTAAAATTAATGAATATAAACATGTCTAATTGAAGCTTGCCTGTGTTTTTCCTTTTTTAATCGTAATTAAGCAGATGTGTTTCTAAAATTTAAAGATAATAAAAGGAAATCAAGGCATCTTTGATTAAAGGATTTTAAAAGAATGCCAAATTTGTGTGAGCATCCATGAAGATATACTAGATGATGCTCTTATTGGACTTAAATATTAATGTTGCAATTATCTCAAAACTTAACTTAATCAACATGGTATATTAAAGCTAAAGATCTCAAATTTACCCATATGTCAAATGCAGGGGCGGACCAGCCCCTTGGAAGGTGGGCCTGGGCCTACCCTCACATTTACAAAAAAAAAAATTGTTTATAAAGGCCATAAAAAAATTCTATTAATATATATATCCAAGTCTATCCTTAGATTTTAAAAAAATAAGAAATATTATACATATATCAAATATATCAAGGCCATAAAAAACTTGCTATTAATATATATATTCTAAGCCTACATCATATTAAAAGTTTAAAACTCTCTCCACTCTATTCTACGTCCATCTGTTTTTTTATGATTTTATCTCCAAAATTCTTTACTCTTTCATTCTCTCATTTACTTTCTCTATGTTATTTATTCTTAAAACTTTTGAAGACTGAAATTGTTGAAGCTTTCATTGATTAAGGTGCCACAATTAGCTTCGTTTTATGTTTTATTAGTTTTAGATATGTGTATTGCTCATTTCATTTTAGTTTATTTTAGGGTTAAATCATGCTTATTTTTTGGAGGTTTTTTATTCTAATTTGATGGAAAAATGCATGGATCTTGTGAGTTTGTTTTATGTTTTGTGTCTAAGAATGTTTATGCTTTCCCAAATTAAACATTAACTATATTTTACTGAACGTTATTCTTCACTCTTCACCCACTACTTTTCTACATTTTAAACGTCACTATTTAGCTGCTCAACATTATTAAAGAATTTTGAGTTATTATCTATGTTTATACTAAGAAAATTTTCTATTTTTTTATTAATTCATATTAAAAGTCAAGGTAATGTTAACTTAATTTAAGTTTTTGTTGACTTTAGCTTAGGCTAGGCGTGATCAAAGTTATGAAAATTTATATTATAATATTTGAAAGCCAAAAAAAAAAAAAAAAAAGAGGAGAAATAAGAAATGTGTAGAATATTTTTGATGGATTGTGATTGTTGTAAACTTTTTTAATTATATTGGGTTTAAGTGGATCGTTAGATTCCCGTAGTCTTTTACTCGCTTTAATTGAAGATATTTTTCCACATAAAAATTTTCTTGTGTTTCCTCGTGAATTGGATGTTATTTTTAACATAATTTGCTTAAGGTTTTGTTTCTCATAGATTTATTCAAGTAATAAAGTATTGTGTTATTGCATTATTTTCTTTCAGATTATTAATATTGTATTATTTCCTTTGCTTAAGGTTTGGTGATTTTTTTAAAGTTTTCACTAGTTGTTTGACAAATAATGGCCAAGCCGCGAAGGCCTCCTAGGCAAAAATCCTGGGTCTGCTACTGGTCAAATGGATAAAAAATAAATCTAAGTTTCATATGAGGGTCTATTAAATTAATTATTAATGTTGGGACCAAGGGATGGGCCTTTGACCTACCTCGCCTCGCCCGAACGAGGAGGGGATTCCCTGAAAAAATCAGGGTTGGGGATAGAGCCCACCATGCCTTGGTAAATAACGTTGCATATGTTAAATCTTAGCATAGAAGTATCCTCTCCACACACATATCTCGTTTCCTTCGTGCCGCACAACCTCCAGCAAACCGTCACACCCTGCCATCAACCGCCCCGACCACCATTGAAGCCCCCTCATCGTTCCCCACCCCCATTTATAGGTTTTAGAATGAGGAATGAGGTGGGAAAAATCCCCACGGGAATTTTCCCTGAAAAATTCCCGTATTATGGGACAGGGACGAGGGTCACTTGTTCCCTATAGCGGGGATGGGGATTTCCTATCATCCCCATAGCGGGCAGAGAATGGGTCTCCGGCCCCTCCTCACCCCATGCCCATCTCTATTGGGACCTTAATTACAACCTTAAGTTTTTATGTCAAAGTGATAAATTTAAATCCATCCCTTACTTTTACAACAATCATCTTAATCATGACAACTCATCTAAGTCAATGGTCCTTAATCACTTTCACAACCATTCATATTAAGTCAATGGTATCTTTAGTAATCATTCACCTTATAAAAACAAATAAATCGTGCTCTCAACTGTCTTAGAGAAAGACTTTTCATGTCTATCTATTCAACAGATAATTCATTGAACAAAGCTTTACTGAATTTTGTTAAGTTAATTTTTTTTTTTTTTGGTTACCGGGGTGTCAAGGCCATTCCACACGCTTCGACTAGTTCTCCGACCTCGAACAAGGCTTAAGTTAAACTTTAACTATACATGTTTTCGAAAAGTATCATAGTTATAAGAAGGGTTTCCTTTTAAGAATACATCTCTAAAGAAAAAAAAAAAAAATACAAATGTCTAGTGAGAAAGTTGTAAACCAATTATTACGTACTTAGATTGGAAAATTCTATTTATAAAAACAGAAGAGTTGAATACCGCGAATTATCCACAATAATTTTTACATTTATATTTATTACATGATTATATATTGCGACCAAACTTCACTCGATTGTCCCTTTAATTTCTAGAAACATTTGGCTAACAGTTCATGTAGTTCTTGGTTCG